GGGGTTGTTTTGGGGGGGTGGTTGGTTTTGTGGGTGTTGGGGTTTGGGTTTGGGTAGTGGGGTTGGTGGGGGGGGTGGGGTGGGGGGGGGTGGGTGGGGGTTGGTGGTGGTTGTTTTTGTGTTTGGGGTGTGGTGTTGTGTTTGGTGGGTGTGGTTTGTTTTTGTGGGGGTTGTGGGGTGGGGTTGTGGTTGGGGGTTGGTGGGGGGGGTGGGGGGGTTGGGGGGGTGGTGGGGGGTATTGGGTTTGGGGGGGTTTTTGTGGTTGGGGTGGGTTGGGTGGGGTGGGTGGTGTGGGTGGGGGGGTGGGGGGGGGGGGTGTGGTGGTTGGTTGTTGGTTGTTGGGGGTGGGGGGGGTGTTTTGTTGTGTTGGTGGTGTGGTTGGGTTGTTGTTTGGGTGGAGGTTGTTGTTGGTTTTTGTTGTGGTAGGGGTTTGTTTTAGTGGGGTTGGGTTGGTTTTGTGGTTGGGGTTGGTTGTGTTGTTGGTGGTGTTTGGTTGTGTGGTGGTGTTGTTTGGGTGGAGTTGTTTTGGGTTTGTTGTGGATTGGTGGTGTTGTGGATGGTGTTTATGAGGTTGGGTGTGTATGATGAGGATTTGTGAGGTTTTTGTTGTTGGGGGTGTTGTTGGGAAGGGGGAGTTATTTGTAGGGGGGAGGTTGAATTATTGTAGGGGGTGTGTTTGATGATGATGGTGGTTGTATGGTGTGGGTTGGTTAGGTGTTAGTTTGGTTGGGGTGTTGTTGTTGTTGGGGGTGTTTGTGGTGTTGTGGTTGTTGGGGGGGGGGGGGGGGGTGGGTTTGGGGTGGGGGGTGGTGGTGGTGGGTGTTGAGGTGGGGGTGGTGGGGGTTGAGTGTGGGGGGGGGGTGGGGGGTGGGTGGGTTGGGTTGGTGTGGGGGGGGGTTGTTTGGTGTGGTTGGGTGGTTGGGGGGTAGTGGTGGGTGGGTGTGTGTTGTAGGTTGGTTGGTTGGTGTGGGGTTTTTTTGTGGTTGGTGGGGGGTGGTGTGGGGAGGGTTGGGATGTGGGGATGGGGGGTATATGGTTTTTGTGGGGGGTTTTGGTATTGGGGTTGAGAGAGGAAGAGAGTGGGGAGAAGAGAGGGGAGAGAGAGAGGGAGAGATAGAGGAGTGAGAGGGGTGTGAGTGAGTGAGATGTGTGGAGAGTGTGGGATGAGTAGAGTGAGTGAGAGAGGAGAGAGAGGGAGTGTTAGTGGGGGTGTGAGAGGGTGAGATGGAGTGGATGGGGGTGTGAGAGTGGAAGAGATTTGGTGTGAGAGGGAGAGAGAAAGTGTGAGAGGGGTAGAAAAGATGAGGGGGAGAGGTGAGGTGAGATAGTGATGGGTGTGAGTGTGGAGTGAGAGGGGGGTAGTGAGAGTGGAGAAGAGGGATGAGTGTGGTGTGTGAGGTGATAGTGTGAGTGTGAGGAGTGTAGGGAGATGTGTGGTGAGTGTAGTGGGGAGTGTGATTGGGGGTTGTGTTGATGGGGGGAAGAGAGGTGTGATAGTGTGTGTGTGTGTGTGAGGTGTGGTGTGGGATAGGTGTTGGTATATTAGTTGTGAGGGTGTTTGGGTGGTGTGTGTTTTGGGGGTGGGAGATTGGGTGGTTGGGGTTGTGTTTGTGGGTGTTGTTTTGTGGTGTGGTGTTGGGTTATTGTTGGTGTTGTGTTTTGTGGGGTGGTTGGTTTTTGGTGGGGGGGGTGGGGGTGGGTTGGTGTGGGTGGTGGGGGTGGGTGGGGGTTGGTGGGGGGGTGTTGGGGGGTAGGGATGGGTGGGGTTTGGGGGGTGGGGGAGGTGGTGTGTGGGGGGGTAGGGTGGTTGGTGGTGGGGGGTAGGTGGGTGGGGGGGGGAATTGTTGGATGGGTGTGGTTATTATGGGGGGTTTTTGGTTTGTTTTGGGGGGTGTTATGGGGTTGGGTAGGGGGGGGGGGGGGGTTGGTATTGGGTTTGTGGGTGTTTGTGGGTTGGGGGGGGGGGGGGGTGTGTGGGGGGGGGGGGGTGTGGGGGGGGGGGGGGGGGTGGTGTGGTTTTTTTGATAGTTATATATTTATGTTTTTTTTGATTATTGATTGGAGTATATATGGGTTATATATATATTGATGGATATATTTTGTATATATAGGTAATTGGGGGGGGGTAAGGGGGGAATGGGGTATGAATGGAGGTGGGGTTGAATGTTTGTGTGGGGGTTGGGGTTTGGGGGGGGTGGTATTTAGTGTATTGTTTTGTATTTGAATGGGTTTGGTTGGGTGGGTGGGGGGGGGGGGGTTTGTTTGTGGGAGGGGGGAGTTTGGGGTTTGATGTGTTAAGGTGGGTGGTTGTTGTGGTTTGGGTTGGGGGGTTTTGGGTTTGGGGTTTGTGGTTGTTTGTGGGTTAGGTTTTGTGGGTTTGATGGTTTTTGGGGTGGGGGGGTTGGTGTTGTTTTTGTGTAGTGGGTGGTTTGTTTGGTGGGGTGTGGTTGGTGTGTGGGGGGGTGGGGGGGGTTTGTGGTTTGTTTTGGGGTTTGGTTTGAGGGGGGGTTTTTTTTGTTGGGTGGTGGGTTGGGTGTGTTTGTGGTTGGGTGTGGGGGGGGGGGGTTTTGGGTGGGGGGGGTGGGGGTTTGTTGGGGTGGGTGTGGAGGTGTGTTTTGTGTGGTGTGGGGTGGTTGTGGTTTGGGTTGGGGTGGGTGTTGGAGGTTGGTGGGGGTGGGGGTTGTGTGGGGTTGTTTTGTTGGGGGGTGGGGGGTGTTTGGGTAGGGGGGGTGGGTTGTGGGTGGTTTGTGTTTGTTGGTGTTGTGGGTGGGGTGTGTTTGTTTGTGGTGTGGGGGGGGTTGGGTGTGGGGGTGGGGGGGGGGGGTTGGGTGGGGGGGTTGGGTTTGAGTTGGAGTGGTGGGGGGTTTGGGGTTGTGGGTGTGGTGGGGTGGGGGGGGGGGGGGGTGTGTGGGGGGTGTGTTTGTTGTTGGTGGTGTTGTTGGGGTGTTTGGGGGGTGTTTTGGTTGGGGGGGGGTGGGGGGGTGGGGGGTGTTGTGGTGTTTTTTTTTGTTGATTGTTGTGGGGTGTGTGGGGGTTTTGTGGGTTTTTGGTGTTTTGGGTTGGGTGGGGTGGGGGGGTGGTGTGTGGGGGTTGTGGGGTGTTTTGTGGGGTTGGGGGTTTTGTGGGTTGGTGGGGGGTGTGGTGGTGGTGGGGTGTTGTGTTTTTAGGTGGTGGGGGGGGGGGTTGTGTGGGGGTGGGGTGTGTTGGGGTGTTTGGTGGGTTGGTGTGTGGGGGGGGTGTTGGGGTGGTGTGGGTATGAGGGGGTGGTGGGTGTGGGTGGTTGTTGGTGGTTGTTGTGGGGGGTTGGGGGGTATAGGGAGGTTTGGGGGTGGGGTTGTTGGGGTGTGTTGTTTTGTTTGGTGTGGGGGTTATTGGTGGTGGGGGGGGTGGGGGGTGGTTGGTTGTGTGTGGGTGTTGGGGGGGTGGGTGAGGGTTTTGGGGTGTGGGTGTTGAAGTGGGGGTGGGGGTTTGGGGTGGGTGTTGGGTGTGGGGGGGGGGTTGTGGTTTTTATTGGTGTGGGGTTGTGGGTGTTGGGTGTTGTGTGTTTTTGTTTTTTGTGTGGTGTTTGTGTTTTGGGTGGTGGATGATGTGGGAGTGTGTGTTTTTGATTATTGTATTGAGAATGAAGGGGTATAGTTTTTGTGGTAGGTTTGTTTTTTTTGGTGGTGGGGGTGTTTTGGGGTGGGGGGGGGGTTTGTGGGTGGGTTTTTAATGAATGTTGTGGGGGTTTGTGGGGGGGGGGGTGGTGTGGGGTGTGTGTTAGGTGGTTTGTTATGGTTTGGTTTTTTGTTGGGTTTGTTGTGTGTGGTTGGGTGTTGGTGGTGTGTGGGGGGGGTTGTTGGTGTGGGTGTGTTTGGTTTGTTTGTTGGGTGTTGGGGGGGGGGGGGGTGTGGGGGGGTGTGGGGGGGGTGGGGGGGGTGGTTTGGGTGTGGGGGGGGGGTGGGGGTTGTGGGGTTTGTGGGGTTGGGTGTGGGTTGTGTGGGAGTTGGGTGTGGGGTTGGTTTTTTTGGGGTTTTTTGTGGTTTTGGGTGGTTGGGTTGGGGGGGGGGGGTGTGGTTGGGATGGGGTTGTTAGGTTGGGGGTGGGGTGGTGGGGGGGGGGTGTGGGGGGGGGGGTGGAGTGTTGGGTGGTGTGTGTTGGGTTTTGGTGGTGGGGTTTATTGGTTGTGTGTTTGTGTGGGTGTTGTTTGGTTGGGTTGGGGGGGTGGTGGTTGGGGTGGTTGTGGATGGTGGGGGTGTTGGTGGTGGGTGGTGGGTGTGTGGGGGGGGGGGGTGTGGTGGTTGGTGGTTGTGTTTGGTTGTTTTGTTGTTGGGGGGGTGGGGGTGTTTGTGTTGAGGGGGGGGGTGTGGGGTTTTTTGAGGGGTGGTGGGGGGGGTTTGGGGTGGGGGGGGGTGGGGTTGGTTGGTTGTGTTTGGTTGTGGGGTTGGGGGGGGGGGGTGGGGGGGGGGTTGGGGGGGGGGGGGGGGTTAGGGGTTGTGGGGGGGGGGGTGGTGTGGGGGTGGGGGGTTGTGTGTGGGTGTTGGGGGTTTGGTGGTGGGTGGTGGTTGGGTGGTTTGGGTGTTTGGTGTGATTAGGTGGGTGGGAAGGGGGGGGTGGTATTTGAGGATGGGGGAAGTTAAAGGGTGGTGGGGTGGAGTTTGGGGGGTGGGAAGAAATTTAGTTGGGGGTTTAATGGAAGGATGAGGGGGGGTGGGGGGTGTTGGGGGGGTTTGTAAGGTATAAGGGATGTATGGGGGTAGGGTTTGGGGGGAAAATGGTGATTATAGAAGGAAGGGGAAGGTAGGGGGATGATGTAGTTGGGTGGGTAGTTTGTATTTGGGTTTAGTTAGGATGATGGGGGGTGTTGGTTTGGAGTTGGTTTTTTTGTTGATTGAGGGAGATTTTTTTTTGAGTTTTGTTTGGAAGGGTTTTTGGGGGGGGGGGAGTGGTAGGGGGGGTGGGAGTGTGGTGGTATAAGGTGGTTTTTGGTTGGGATGGTTGAAATTGGAGGGGGGGTATGAATGGGGTTTTGGGGTTATTTATGTTTTGGTTGTTGGGGTTGGGGTGGGGGGGGTGGGGGGTGGGGTGGGTTGGGGGGGTTGGGGGGGGGGTGTGGTGGTGTAGTGTTAGGTGTTTTGTGGTGTGGTTTTTTTTGTGTTTTTAGGGTGGTTTGTGGGGTGATGGGTTAGGGATTTTTTGTTTGGTGTGTATGGGGTTTTTTTGGGGTGTTTGTTGGTTGGGGGTGTGGGTGGGGTGGGGTGTTGGGTGGGGTTTTTTTGTGTGTTTTGGATAGTGTAATGTTTTTGGGTGGGTGTGGTGGGGGGGGGGGTTTGGTGGTGTGTTGTGGTGGGTTGGTTTGTGGGTGGTGGGGGGTGTTTGGTGTGTTGTGGTTGGTTGTTTTGTTTGTGGGGTGTTGTGGTGGTGGGTTTGTGTGGGTTGTGGGGGTGGGGGGTTGGGTTGGGTTTTTTGTGGGTTGTTGGTTTTTTTTTTTATGTTGGTTGGGGTGTGGGTGTGTTTGGTGGGTGTGGTGAGGGTGGGGGGGGGTGGGTGTTTGGGTGGTTTGGGGGGGGGGGGTGTTGTTTGGTGGTTTGGGGGTGGGTTATGGGGGTGTTGTTTGGGGGGGTTGGGGGGTTGTTGTTTTTGGGTTGTGGGGGTGGGTGGTTTTGGGTGGTTGGGGGGATGGTTGGTGTTTGGGTGGTTGGGGGGTGTTTGGGGGGGGGTGGTTGTGGGGGTTTGGGGTGTTGGGGGGTTGGGGGTTGGGGTGGTTGTGGGGTGGGGGGGGGTTGGGGGGGGGTTGGGGGGGTTGGGGGTGTGGGGGTTGTGGTGTTGTGGGGTATTGGGGGGTTTGTTGGGGGTTTTGGGGTTGGGGGGGGTGGTGGAATTGGGGTTTGGGTGTTTTTGGGGTGTTTTGGGGGGTGGGGTGGGTTTTTGGGGGTGGGTTGTTGTGTGTGTGTGGGTGGGGGGGATGTGTGGTTTGGGTTTGTGTTTGTTGGTTATGGTTTGGTTGGTTATTGTTGATGTGTGTGGGGTTGGGTGTGTTGTGGTGGGTTTGTTGGGGTTGTGGGGGGGGGGGTGTGTTTTGGTTGTTGTGTGTGTGGTGGGTGGGTGTGGGTTGGGTGTGGGGGGGGGGTTGTGGGGTGGTGTGGTGTGGGGTGGGTGTGGGGGGGTGTGTGGGGGGGTGGGTTGGTGTGGGGTGGTGGGGGGTGGGTGTGTGGGTTGGGTTTGTGTGGTGGGGTTTTTGTGGGGTTTGGTGGTGGGTTTGGGTGTGGGTTTGGGGTGGGGTTGGTGGTGTGTTTGGTGGTGGTTATGGTGGTGGGGGTTTGGTGGTGGGGGTTGGTGTGGGGGGGTTGGTGTGGGGTTTGGTGGTGGTTTTGTGGTGGGGTTTGGTGGGGTGGGGTTTTGGTGGGTGGGGTGGTTGGGGTTTGGTGGTGGGGTTTTGGGTGGTGGGTTTGGTGGTGGGGTTTGGTGTGGGGTTTGGTGGTGGGTTGGGTGGTGGTTGTGTGGGTGGGGTTTGGGTGGTGGGGGGGGGGGTGGGGGGTGGGGGGGGGGGGGGGGTGGTGGGGGGTGGGTGGGGTGGGGGGTGGGGGGGGTGGGGTGTTTTGGGTGGTTGGGGTGGGGGTGGGGGGGGGGTGGTGGGGGTTGTGGGGGTTGGGTGTGGTGTGTGGGGGGGGGGTGGTGGGGTGGTGGGTTGGGGGGGGTGTGGGGGGGGTTGGGGTGTGTTGGGGGGTTTTTTTTGGTGGTGTGGGGTTGTTTTTTGGGGTTTGGGGGGGGGTTGGGGTGTGGGGTGGTGGGTTGTGTGGTTTGTGGGGGTGTTTGGGTTTGGTTGTGGGGTGGTGGGTGGTTGGTGGGGGGGGGTTGGGTGGGGGGGTGTGTGGGGGGGGGGGTTTGGTGGGTGGTGGGTGGGGGGGTGTGGGGGGTGGGGTTGTGTTTGGGGGGGTGTTGGTGGGGGGGTTTGGGGGGGTTGGGTGTTGTTGGGGGTGTTGTGGGTGTGGGGGGGGGGGGGGGTGTTTGGGGGTGGGGGGTTGGGGGGTGGGGTTGGGGGGGTTGGGTGGGGGGGGGGGGGTGGGGTGGTGGGGGGGGGTGGGGGTTGGGGGGGGTTGTGGTGGGGGTGGTTGTGGTGGGGTGTGGTGGTGGGTTGTGGGGTGGGGGTTTGGGGTTGTGTGGGTTGGTTTAGTGGGGTTGGTTGTGGGGTTGGGGTTGTTTTGTTTGGGGGTGGGGGGGGGGGGGTGTTGTTTGTTGGTTGGGGGTGGTTTTGGGGGTGGGGTGGTTGTGGGTGGGTGTGTTTGGTTTGTGTTGTTTGGGGGTGGGGGGGGGGGGGTGGTGGTTGTGGTGGGGTTTTTTGGGGTTGGTGTTGTGGGGTTGGTGGGTGGGGGGGGTGGGGGGGGGGGGGGTGGGGGTGGTGGTGGGGTGTTGGTGGGGGGGGGGGGGGGGGGGGGGGGGTGGGGGGGGGGTGGGGGGTGGTGGGGGGGGTTGGGGGGGGTTTTTGGGGTGGGTTGGTGGTGGGTGTTGGTTGGGGGGTGGGTGGGTGGGGTTGGGGGGTTGGGGGTGGGGGGGGGTGGGGGTGTTGGGGGGGGTGGGTGTTGGGGGTGTTGGTGTGGGGGGGGTGTTGGGGTGGGGGGGGTGGTGGGGGTTGGGGGGTGGGGTTGTGTTGTGTTGGGGTGGGGGGGGGGGGGGGTTGGGGGGTGGGGGGGGTTTGTGGGGGTTGTGTGGGTTGTGGTGGTGGGGGGGGGGGGGTGGTGTGTGGGGGTGGTTGGGTTTTGTTGTTGTGTGGTGTTGGTGGGGGGGTGGTGGGTGTTGGTTTGGTGTTGTGGGGGTGTGGGGGTGTGTGGGGGGGGGGGTGGGGTGGGTGGGGAGTTTGGGTTGGGGTGGGTGGGTTGGGGGGGGGGGGGGTTGGTGTTGGTGTTGGTGGGTTGTGGGGGGGGGTGTTGGTGGGTGGGTGGGGGTTGGGTGGGGGGGGGTGGTGTGGGGGTGGGTGGTGGGTTGTTGGTTGGGGGTTGGGGGGTGTGTGTGGGGGGGGGGTTGGGTGGTGTGTTTGTTGGTGTGGGGGGTGTGGGTGGTTGGGGGGTGGTTGTGGTGTGGTGTGGGTGGGTGGTGTTGGGGGGGGGGGGGGGGTTTGTGGGGGGGGGTGGTGGGGGTTTGTTGGGTGGGGGGGGGTGTGTGGTTGGGGGGGGGGTGGGGGGGTGGGGGGGTGTTGGGGTGTGTGGTGGGGGGGGGGGGGGGGGGTGGGGGGGGGTTTGGTGGGGGTGGTGTGGGTGTGTGGTGGGGGGGGGGGGGGGGGGGTGGTTGTGTGGGGTGGTTGGGTTTTTTGTTTGTTTGTTGGGTGGTGTGTTGGTGGGGGGGTGGGTGGGTTTGTGTTTGGGGTGTTGGGGGTGTGGGGGTGGTGTGGGGGGGTGGTTGGGGTGGTGGGTGGTTTGTGTGGGGTGTTTGGGGGGGGTGGGGTTTTGGGTGTGGGGGGGTTTGGGGGGTGGGGGGGGGGGTTGTGGTTGTTGGGTGTTTGTGTGGGGGGGGTGTTGGTGGGGGGTTGGGGGGTGGGTGGGGTGGGTGGGGTGGGGGGGGGTGGTGTGTGTGTGTGGTTTTTGGGTTGTGTTGGTTTGTTGTGTGGGGGTGTGGGTGGTTGGGGTGGTTTGTGGTGTGGTGTGGTGGTTTTGGTGTTGGGGGGGGGGGGGGGGGGTTTGTGGGGGGGGTGGGGTGGGTGTTTGTGGGGTGGGGGGGGGGTGTGTGGGTTGAGTGGGGGGGTGGGGGGGTGGGGGGGGGGGTTTGGTTTTGGGGGTGTGTTGTGGTGGGGTGTGTTGTTGGGGTTGGGTGGTGGGGTTGTTGTTGGGGGGTGGGTGGGGGTGGGGTGGTGGGGGGTGGTGGGGTGTTGGTGGGTGGGGGGTGTGGTGGTGGTTGGGGTTGTGGGGGTGGGTGGGGTTGTTGGGTGGTGGTGGGGGGTGTGGTGGGGGGGGATTGGTGGTGGTGTTTGTTTGTGGGTGGGGGGGGGGGGGGGGGGGGGGGGGGGGGGTTGGTGGGGGGTTGGTTTTGGTTTTGGGGGTTTGTGGGGGGGGTGGTGGGGGGGGGGGGGGGGGTGGGGGGGGGTTGGGGGTGGGGGTTGTTGGGGTGGGTTGTTGTGGGTGGGGTGGGGGGGGGGGGGGGGGGTGGTTGGGGTGGGTGTGTGGTGGGGTTGTTTTTTGTTTGGGGGGGGGGGGGGGGGGGGGGGGGGGGGGGGGGTGGGTGGTGTTGGGGGGGGGGTGTTGAGTGTGTGGGTTGGGGTGGTGGGGGGGGGTTTTGGGGGGGGGGGGGGGGGGGGGGGGGGGTGGGGTGTTTGGGGTGGGTGGGTGGGGTTGGGGGGGGGGTGGGGGGGGGTGGGGGGTGTGTGTGTGGGGGTGGGGGGTTGTGGGGGTTGGGTGGGGGGTGGTTTGTGGGGTGGGGGGGGGGTGGGGGGGGGGGGGGGGGGGTTGGGGTGTGGGTGGGGGGGGGGTGTGTTGTGTGGTTTGGGTGTTTTGGTGGTGGGTTGGGGGGGGTGGGTGTGGGTTTGGGGGGTTTGGGGTTTGTTTTGGGGGGGGGGGGGGGGGGTTGGTGGGGTGGTGTGTTGTTTTGGGGTGGGGGGTGGGTTGGTGGGGGGTTGTGTGTGGGGGGGGTGGTGGTGTGTGTGGGGGTGTGTTGGTGTGGTTGGGGGTGTGGGTTTGGTGGGGGGGTGGGGTGGGTGGGGGTTGTGGGGGTGTGGTGTTGTTTTTGGGGTTTGGGGGGTGTTGTGTGGGGTGTTGTTTTGGTGGGGGTGGGTTTGTTTTTGTTGGGGGGTTGTGGGGGGGGGGGGGGGTGGTGGGGGGGGGGGGTTGGGGGGGGTTGGTGGGGGGGGGGGTGGGGTTGGGTGGGGGGGGTGGTGGGTGGTGGGGGGGGGGTGGGGTGGGGGGGGGTGGTGGGTGGGGGGGGGGGGGGGGGTGGGGGTGGTTGTGGGGGTGGGGTGGGGGGGGGTGGGGGGGGTTTTTGTGTTGGTGGTGGGTTGTGGTGGTGTGGTTGGGTGTTGTTGGTTGGTGGTGTTGTGGCTGGTGTTTTTGTTGTTGGGTGGGTGTTTTGTTGGGTGTTTGTGTTGTTTGGTGGTTTTTGGGTGTGGGGGGTGGTGTGTGGTTTGGTGGAGTTGTTGGGTGGGGGTGTTTTGTGGTTGGTGGTGTTTGGTTGGTGTGTTGTGGTTGGGGGTGGTGTTTGGTTGGGGTGTTTTTGTGGTTGGGGTTTTTTTTTTTTATTTATTATTTTTTTGGTTTAGTGGTTGGGTGGTTTTGTGTGTTGGGGGGTGGTTGGATGTGGTTGTGTGGTGTTTGGGGTTTTTGGTGTTGGTTGTTGTGGTTATTTGTTGTGGGGTGGATTGTTGGTTGTTGGTGGTTTAGTTGTGTTTGTGGGTTTGGGTTTGGGGGGGGGGTGGGTGGTTTGGGTGGGGGGGGGGGGTGTGTGGTGGGGTTGTGTGGGGGTGGTTGGGGTGTGTGTGGGGGGGGGGGGGGGGGTGGTGGTGGGGGGGTGGGTTGGGGGTTGTGGGTTGTGTGGTTGGTGGTTTGTTGTGGTGTGTGTGGGTTGGTGTTTGTTGGTGTGTGGTTGGGGTGGGTGTTTGTGTGGTGGTGGGTTGTGTGGGTGGGTTTGTTGGTTGGTGGGGGGGGTTGGGGGGGTGTGTGTTTTGTGTTGTTGTGGTGTTGTTGGTGGTGTGTGTGGTGTGTGTGGGTGTGTGTGGGGGGTAGATGTAGGTGGTGTTGTGGGAGTGTGTGTGGTGTTGTGAGGGGGGGTGTGAGTGGTGTGTGTGTGGTGTGTGTGGGGTGAGTGTGGGGTGTGGGAGTGGGGGGGTGTGTGTGTGGTGTGTGTGTGGTGTGTGTGGTGTGTGTGGTGTGTGTGGGTGTGTGTGTGGTTGTGTGGTTGTGTGTTGGTTGTGTGTGGGAGTGTGAGGTGTGTTGTGTGGGTTGTGTGTGGTGTGTGTGGTGAGTGTTGGTGAGTTGGGTGTTGTGTGTGTGTGTGGTGTGTTGTGGGGGTGTGGTGTGGTAGTGTGGTGTGTTTGGGATGAGTGTGGGTGTGTGTGGTTGTGTGTGTGTGTGTGGGGGTGTGTGTGTGGTTGTTGGGTGTTGTGTGTGTGGGTGGGGGGTGGGTGGGGGGGGGTTTTGGGGGGGGGGTGTTTGGTGGGGGGGGGTTGGGGTGTTGGGTTTTGGTTGGTGTTAGGGGTTGTGGGTGGTGGTGTGGTGGGGTGGTTGTGGGTTGGGTGGGGTGGTTGGGTGGGTGGGGGTGGTGGGGGGGGTGATGGGTGTTTGGGTTGGGTGTTGGGGGGGGGGGGAGGTGGTGGGGGGTGGGGGGGGTGTGTGGGGTGGGTGGTTGTTGGTGGGGGGTTTGTGGGGGTATTGTTTGTTTTGGGGGGGGGTGTGTGGGGGTGTGGGGTGGGTGGGGTTTGTGGGGTGGTTGGGGGTGGGTTTTGGGGTGTGGGGGGGTGTGTGGGGGGTTGTGTGTTTTTGGTTTTTGTGTGTTGGGTTTTTTTTTTGATTGGTGTGTTTTTTTTGTTGAGTTTGTTTATGTTTGTGTGGTTTTTTGGTTTGGGGGGGTTTGGGGGGGGGGGGTTTGGGGTGTTGGTGGGGGGGTTTTGGGGTGGGGTGGGGGGGTTGGTGTTGTGTGGTGGGTGTGGTTTGTTGGGGTGTTTGGTGTGTGTGGGGGTTTGGGGGGTGGGGGGGGGGGGGGGGGGGGGTTGGTTGGGGGTGGGGGGGGGGGGGGGTGGTTTGGGTGGTTTTGTTTGGTATTGGATTGTTGGGTGGTTGGGTGGGTGGGTTTATGTTGGTATTTTTGGGTGGTTTGTTTGGGTTTGGGTTGGTTGGGGGGGGGTTTTGTGGTGTTTTTTTGGTGTTGTGGGTTTTTGTGGGTGTGGTTGGTGGGTGTTGGTTGGGGGTGGGTGTGGTGTTTGAGTTTTGGGGGGGGTTTGTGTTTGTGGGGGGTTTTTGTAGGTTTGGTAATGTGGGGGGGAGGTAGGGTATTGGTTTGGTGTGGGGGGGGTGGGGTGGATGTGTTTGGTGGGTGGGGGGGTTTTTGGGGGGGTGGGTGTTGGTGTGATGTTTTGTTGAGTGTGTGTGGGTTGGGGTTGGGTTGTGTTGGTTGGTTGTGGGTGGGTGGGATAGTGTTGGTTGGATAGATTGGGGGTTAGGGGATGGTTGGGAAGGGTTGGTTGATTGGATGGGATTGGTTTGGTATTGGTGTGGGGTGGTGGGGTTTTTATGGTTATGTGGGGTGAGGGTGTGGGTATGGGGGGGTGGTGGGGTGGAGGGGATGTTGGGGGGGGGTTTTGTGGAATAGAGGGAAGGTGTGGGGTGTTGGGTGTTGGGGTGTGGTGGGTGTGGGGGGTGGGGTAGGATGTGGGGGTGTTTTTTGTGGGTGGGTTTTTGGCGTAGGGTGTAGTGTGTCCAAGGATGGTTGGGTTGGAGGGAGAAAAGGGCGGAAAAGTAGTATGGTTTATGGGTAAGTTGATTGGTTATGGCCATTCTGGTAGAATCAAGCAAAGAATTCAATGCTATATTTTCAGGAGTCCATAAGTAACGGCACCTTTCACACTTCTGTTCCACGTTAAGTTGCATGGAGGTGTAATTGGATGGTAAATTGATGTGGGAATAGGTGGGTATGAAAAGAGAAATGTAATGATGGGAGAAAAGCGTAGTAAGGTTGGGTTTGGGTGAGGATGTGGGGATTAGGTTATATAAAAAAGGCAATGATGAGTGGTGGGTATAGATTGTAAGAAATTTGGTGATTTTATGAATGGGGTGTAATTGTGGGTGTTAGGTGGGGAGATATTAGGATAGGGTTGACATATGTGGATGGGAGTATTTAAGATTGTGGGGATTGGATGAATTAGTAATTTGATGGTGGTGATGGGGAAGGGTGGGGGGAATAGGAGGGAAGGGGATGGTGGATGATTTGTTATATTAGGTAAATAAGAGGTATGATTTATATAAATGAGGGGGTGGGGGTTGTTAGTGGATGATTAGTATTGGAGAATGGGTGGGGTGATATTGATAGTTTTGAAAGGGAGGTAGTGGAATGGGGTGAAATGTGTGAGGGTGGGTGGTGGGGGGGGAAGATGATTTGAATGAATATTAAGGGGTAGGGATGATTGGATATGGGGGTGAAGAGAGATATTAATATTATTGTTTTTGAGGGAGATGAGAGGAGCCCGAGAAGAAGAGAGGAGGAAGATGGAAGAGACGAGATGGAATGCGGATGAGAGTCGAGAGGATGAGGAGAAGGAGAGGGAGGAGCGAGAGAGAGAGGAGAGAGAGAGGAGGAGTGAGGCGGGACGAAAGGAGACGACCGAGAAGAGAGATGCAGGAGGCTGAGAGAAGAGAGAAGCGGAGAAAGAGGTGAGAGAGAAGAGAGAGGAGAGCCTGAGACCAGAGGAGTCGATGACGATTCCGAGCAGAGAGAAGGAGGATGAGGGGGTGAAGCGGGGAGAGAAGAAAGAGAAAGAAAGAGAGGAACAGAGGAGGTCGAGGAGAGATGACAAGGAGAGGAGGAACGAGAAAAAACAGAGAGAGAGACCAGGGAGAGGAGGAGTGAGTGAGAGAGAAGGATGAGAAGGAGAGAAGAGGGAGGAGGAGAGAGGGAGGAAGGAAGAATGAGCATGAGGGGGAGAGAGAGGGGAGGGATGGCGAGAGAGGTGAGACAGAGTGGAAGCTGGCAGAGAAGGAAGAGAGAGAAATGAGACCAATAAAAAAAGAAAAAAAAAAAAAAAAAAAAAAAGAGACCCCCGGGGAAAAAAAAAAAAAGCGAAGAAAAAAAAAAATAAAAAGAGACCCAGGAGACGAGGACGAGGATGAAGGAGGAAAACAGAGACGGGAGCATATAGATATGATGAGAGATCTTGAGCGGAATGAACATGAGAAGGAGAGGCTGAATGAGAAGACCGAGGGAGAGAGAGAACAGAGAGAAGAGAGAGATAAGAGTGAAAAGAGAAAAGGAGAAGAAAGAAAAGGGAGAAAGCGAAGAACAGAGAGAGAGAAGTGGGAAAAAGAGAACTAACAGAGATCGGGGGAGAAGCGACTCGACGAGAGGAGTGACGAACGGATGGAAAGAGGAGGGAGAGCGGATGACAGGAGGAGAAGAAGACAGAGGGAGAGATGTCGGAGGAGGTGAAGGAAGAGACCGCGAGAGAGGAGAGGAGGAGGAGGAGGGGGGGAAGGTAAGACGAGTGAGATAGGTGAGGAGAGACAGAGAGAGATTGGGGAGATGAGGAGAGACTTGAGGTGAGAGACCAGAGAGAGAGGAGAGGAGAGATGAGCGAGACCCCAATGAGGAGCGAGTGAGGTAGGGACTGGAGAAGAATGGACGGACGAGGGAGAGAAGAGAGAGAGAGAGAGGGTTCTGAGAGAGAAGGAGGAGAGGGGAGGAGCGAGGTCCAGTGGAGCCGGAGGAGACCCGAGGGCGGGAGGAGAGAAGGAGGAAGGTGGGAAAAAAAAAAAGAGAAAGAGAGACAAAAAAAAAAAGAGAAAGACGGAGAAAGAGTATAGTAAGGAAAAGAAGAGGGAACAGGAGAGAAACAGGGAAGAAGAAAGGAAGAAAGGAAGAGAGATGACGAGAATCAGAGACGAGACCCAGACAGGAAAAAAAGAGGGAGAAACATGGGAGAGGAAGAGACCCCGAACAGAGCACAGAGAAGACACGGAACGAGGGGAGAAGAAGTGAAGAAGACAAGAAACCGAGAGGTACCAGAAAAGAAACGGAGGGTACCAGGAGAAGGGAGGCGAGGAGAGAGAGGAGAGGAGAGATGACCGAATGGAGGCGAGGGAGACCAGAGAGAGAGACCAGGAAGAGGAAGAGAGACCACGAGGGGCAGGAGACGCCGGGAGAGAGAAGCCGACGAGAGAGACCCTCAAATAAGAGGTCGGAAACGCCCGACACTGAACCAAGACCTAAAGAGTGCCGAGGATGAAAGCGAAAGTGGAGAGAGGCGAGACTCCGGCGAGAGCAGTGAGCAAACGCGCCGAAAAGACGGAGACCAGAAAGGCCAGGACCAGAAAAGAGAAGGAGAAAAAAAGAAAAGAAAGAGATTATATTTTTATAGTAAAAGAGAAAGTGAAAAAAAAGAAAGACAAAGAAAGGAAAGAAACTGGCTTGAGAATACTGAAGTGGATAAGGAGGCGAAAAAACAGAGGACTGGATTGCGAGAGAGACCAGAGGAGAAAGGAGTAGAGAGAGGAGGAAGGAGGGAGGGAAGAGAAGAGAGAGAAGTAGAGACAAAACAGGACGAGGGAGAGAGAGGAGGAAGCGTTGACGGGAGAGGAGAGGAGAGTAGAAGGGGGGAGGAGAAGGAGATGAGGAGTGGAGAGACGAGAGAACGAGAAGTGAGGAGAAAAACCAGAGGCAGAGAGAGAGAAAGAGGACATGTGTGCTCGAATGGGAAGAGACCATAGAGAGATAGAGACAGAGGAACAAGACGTAGGAGAGGAGAGGAGCGACCCGAGAGAGAGATGCAGAGGACAGGAGAGAGAAGAGAAGAGAGACGCAGACCCGAAGAGAAGAAGACTGACGAGCGAAGAGATAGAGAAGAGAGGAGTGAAGAGGAGAGAAGAGGGGAGATCGACCAGGGGAGAGAGGGAGAGAGGAGGGAGAAGAGACCAGAAGAGACGAGAGAAGAGCAGGGGAGGACGGGGAGACGATGCGCAGCGAGAAGGGAGGAGGACATGGATGAGGGAGAGGAGGAGAGACAAAAAGAGCAGACCCAGAAAATGGAACAACGAGATAAGAAAGAACAGACAGGAAAACGGGGATGAGGGAGGAGACTGAGTGAGGAGGGAGACCCGAGGACCATATTGGGAGGAGGTAGGGGAGGAAGAGGAGGAAGAGAGAGAGATGGCGATAGAGGGAGGTGGACTGCGAGTGGTCGCAGAGAGAGGGTGACGGATATGAGGTGACCCATCATTGGGAGGTGAGACCCAAGGGGAAGTAGCTGAGGGAAGGAGGGAGAGGGTGAAGAAAGGGAGGGAGGGAGAGATGCATGGAAGGAAGAGTGTGGAGGGTAGGAGATAGGGACACCGAGAGAGACCATAATTTAGAGAGAGAGCCATATAACATATTAAGAGAACCTGAGAGAAGGACCGGAGAAATTGATAGTTATTATACGGCTCCTCACAGCAGCAGTAAAACGTTCCTTTGATTTGAATGTAATTTCAAAACGTTGTACCGGGCATTATTTTCTATAACGGACCTCTCAAAACAATAATGACCGCTGCCCTTTGGCAACGCACTCTCTGCTTGTCTTTCAAATGCGTGGATAACTCCGCAAGTAGTTCCGGCCACTCCTGAGCTAGCCACGCTCAATCAACACACTTAAATGTTAATCGGAGAATACTTATACATATACATTCTTCCCACACGTGCACGGAAATTTTCAGAATTTTCTGGTCTTGTCTTCATGACAAAAATACTATTTCTCTGCGTCAAAAAGCGATCGTGAAAAACCCGGAAGTAGTTCTGGCCGCTCAATAAACGCAAATGCCAATCAATCAACGCAATGAAATGTTAATCGGAGAGTAATTTATACATATCCAGTCTTAATACAAGTGCACGGAAGTTTTCAGAATTTTCCGTTTTCGTTTTCATGACAAAAACACTGATGTAATGCGAGAAAAGGCGATCCCGAAAAACCCGGAAGTAGATACCGGCACATTTTAAGATACCGGCACATTTTCGGACACATTTGCAGAGGATGGAATTATGGATTTAGGTTAGGTTTATGTATGGGTCACTCACCGCTGATGTTCAGAATTCTTTGTTCAGTTTTCATGCAGTTCCAGAGAGTTCTAGTTTGGAAGTTGCTAGCCTAACTGTTGCTAGCATAGCCATGGGAAAGCCTTTGGGAACTATTTTATTTTCTGTCATTAAATAAACCTTTCGGCATTCCTAAAAGTGGACTGAAGTTTATGTTGTGTGTTCTGTTGGTATAAAGCCGTATAATAAGCGGGATAACGTATATTACGCAGGTCATTATCGGAAAATAAGTATCGACAGGGTGAAGCGGACCCCGTCGTCCAGGTCCGTGACCCGGCGACAGCAGCAGCTCTCTCTCTCTGTCTCTCTTTCTCTCTCCCTCTCCTTCTCTCCCTCTCTCTATCTTCTATCTCTCTCTCTCGCTCTCCCTTTTCTCTCTCTCTCTCTCCCTCTCTCGCTCTCTCTCCCTCTCTCTCTCTCCCTTCTCTCCTCTCCCCCCCTCTCTCTCTCTCTCCCTCTCTCGCTCTCTCTCTCTCTCTCCCTCTCTCTCTCCCTTCTCCCTCTCCCCCCCTCTCTCTCTCTCTCTCCTCTCTCGCTCTCTCTCTCCCTCTCCCTCCCCCCCCTCCTCTCTCTCCCCTCTCTCTCTCTCTCTCCCTCTCTCTTTCTCTCCCTCTCCCTCTCTCCCTCTCTCTCTCTCTTCCTCTCTCTCCCCTCTCCCTCTCTCTCCTCTCTCTCTCTCTCTCTCTCTCTCTCTCCTCTCTCTCCTCTCTCCCCCCCTCTCCCTCTCTCCCTCTCTCTCTCTCTCTCTCCCTCTCTCTCTCCCTCTCCCCCCCCTCTCTCCCTCCCTCCCTCTCTCTCTCTCCCTTCTCCCTCTCCCCCCTCTCTCTCCCTCTCCCCCCCTCTCCCCCCCTCTCTCTCTCTCTTCCCTCTTTCCCCTCTCCCCCCCTCTCTCTCCCTCTCCCCCTCTCCCCCCTCTCTCTCTCTCCCCTCTCCCCCTCTCCCTCTCTTTCCCTCTCCCCCCTCTCCCTCTCTCTCTCTCTCTCTCTCTCTCCTTCACACAGATGTACGGCTCTGTCTGCGGCGCGACCTTTGCCGCCGCAGAACTGCACATTTATAATCAAACAGTGAAGACACGAGGCCGACGGACCGACAGAAGCAACGCGCTCACGACGACCTTAACGATGACGGACGAGGATCACATTTTCCTTCTTCTACTCTGCCTTTTGGTTGTAGTAATAATCGTTCGTCACTTTTATAGAGCAGAGTGTTTCATCGTTATTTGACCGTTCCCATTTGGAGAAAATATGACAAAAAGATAGAATGATGTTAAATTAAGCGGTCGTTCTGTTTTCACTTTTGTCATGAAATAAAACAAAATGTTGTTACTACACGCTCTCTCGCTGGTCTCTATCTTTCTGGTTTCTAAGTGGTGTCCCTGGTCCGTCTCTCTTTTTTGTGCTATTTGGTCTCTCTCTCTCTCTGTTCTCTCTCTGGAGAGGAATGAGGCTGTAGACCCAGGACTGAGTCTGTAGACCCAGGACCGAGGCTGTAGACCCAGGACTGAGTCTGTAGACCCAGGACTGAGGCTGTAGACCCAGGACTGAGTCTGTAGACCCAGGACCGAGGCTGTAGACCCAGGACCGAGGCTGTAGACCTAGGACTGAGGCTGTAGACCCAGGACTGAGGCTGTAGACCCAGGACTGAGTCTGTAGACCCAGGACCGAGGCTGTAGACCCAGGACTGAGGCTGTAGACCCAGGACTGAGTCTGTAGACCCAGGACTGAGGCTGTAGACCCAGGACTGAGGCAGTAGACCCAGGACTGAGGCTGTAGACCCAGGACTGAGGCTGTAGACCCAGGACTGAGACTGTAGACCCAGGACTGAGGCTGTAGACCCAGGACTGAGGCTGTAGACCCAGGACCGACGCTTAGAACATGTGAAAGTCTCAGTATTTTACCCGACACTGTGTATTTGAACATGTTTTGGCTGCAGAGCTGATGTCCATCGTCTGTCACCCGCCTCTGTGTCATTTATCAGCTGTTACTTCCTGAGTGGGCGTGGTCATCCTGATTGACAGGTCGCTCAGACAGACCAGGAAGGCTCCCTCGTCTCGGTTGATGCTATTGTTGCTCCTACTCTCTGATTTCAACGGCCTCCTTGATCCAGCGTTTGTATTTGTTGTTTTCAGATCCCAGTCCACAATGAAATCATTACTCTTGCGGTGATCTAAAATACCAAATTAAAGGTTTTCCTGGTTCTTCTGTTCTTTCCTGGTCCTGGTGAGTCTCCCCGTAGTCTCGTTTTCATACTCTCTCTCGGGTCTCTCTATTTATGTACTTGTCTGGTGCACACTGGGGACTTTTGCCAATGTATTCCAATGTGGTTTTACTGAAAATGGCAAAGAAAATGGATCTGAATCCCTCTGATGTTTCTTTTTTTTTTTTTTCAGAGGAATGTCCGTCCCGTTTCCTAAATGTATGATTTTGGACTTGCATCGGATTTCATATATTGCACTTTTGATCTGGTGGTGTAGAGTCAGTAGGGAGCCCCCTGCTGGACAAGTATGGGAACTTGAGCTCTAACCTCCTTCCTTCTGTATCTGTCTGCGTTATTAGGATTTTGACTGTAGTCTGTTCATTGCTATTCACCCGTTGTCCCATTGTCTGTTTCATTGTGACTCTGAACTCGGCCTCCTCCATCTACACCTGCGGACTGCCCTGCCCGACCCGCCTGGGAGTTCTTCAGTCCTGCACCGGACCTGTCCACGTTTTGCGGCTTAAGTCCTGGATCTACAGCCTCAGTCCTCGTTCTACAGTCTGAGTCCTGGGTCTACAGCCTCAGTCCTCGTTCTACAGTCTGAGTCCTGGGTCTACAGCCTCAGTCCTCGTTCTACAGTCTGAGTCCTGGGTCTACAACCTCAGTCCTCGTTCTACAGTCTGAGTCCTGGATCTACAGCCTCAGTCCTCGTTCTACAGTCTGAGTCCTGGATCTACAACCTCAGTCCTCGTTCTACAGTCTGAGTCCTGGATCTACAGCCTCAGTCCTCGTTCTACAGTCTGAGTCCTGGGTCTACAGCCTCAGTCCTGGATCTACAGCCTCAGTCCTCGTTCTACAGTCTGAGTCCTGGATCTACAGCCTGAGTCCTGTTGTGATTTAGGGCTAAACAAGAATAAATTGTATTGTTCTTGTGTTTTAGAGTCCTTCTCCCGGGTCTTCAGTGTCAGAAACCTCTCATATCTATCTATCTTTGACTCCTTTTCTTGGCTGTTTAAAAGAAAAGGAGCCAAAATAGATCGAGATATTCTTTATTCTATATTAAAATGTGGAATAATAAATGCGTCCATTGTGGTAAAGCACCTCTCCCTGTTCCCTTAAAGTGCCAAAGGGCTCTGTCTCCTGTCACTCTGGCTCAGCTCATCGCCGTCATGAATCCAGTGTGCATATTTCATGAGGGCGAGCGAGCCGTGGTTATTATGGGATTATTCTCTCACTCCGCTGTTCAACCCGCGGCGGGAGCAGAGCGGCGGCCATCTTGGAGTGGTGGCATTTAATGTTAACTTTGCCCAGAGGAGAGCGAGCGGCCGTGAGCGAGCCCTGGATCAGACTCATGTGAAAAGGAGAAAGGAAACTTCAGGACGAGACGAGGAGGATTTCTGTGGTTTGTGGAAAATGTGGTGATTAGTTCAAAGGATTCTCTTTTTCTCTGGTCTCTCACTGGTTTCTCACTGGTCGCTCTCCGGTCTCTCTCTGGTTTCTCACTGGTCGCTCTCCGGTCTCTCTCTGGTTTCTCACTGGTCTCTCTCCGGTCTCTCTCCGGTCTCTCTCTGGTCTCTCTCCGGTCTCTCTCTGGTCTCTCTCCGGTCTCTCTCCGGTCTCTCTCCGGTCTCTCTCTGGTCTCTCTCTGGTCTCTCTCTGGTCTCTCACTGGTCTCTCTCCGGTCTCTCTCTGGTCTCTCTCTGGTCTCTCTCTGGTCTCTCACTGGTCTCTCTCCGGTCTCTCTCCGGTCTCTCTCTGGTCTCTCTCTGGTCTCTCTCTGGTCTCTCTCTGGTCTCTCACTGGTCTC